CCGCGCGGGTGGGAAGACCCTCAGCCGCTGGGGCGCCGTGGCCAACCCTGAGCCCGTTCTCTGGGGCCTGGCTGCTCCCGCCTGCGCGCCCCTGTGTGGCGTTCCAGGTGGTCGTGCTACCCGAGGTTCGCGCGTGCAGGTGTTGTCTGAGGTGTGAGACGCGTCGCTGTGGTTGTCATGGACACAACACGCTGTTGGGTTGATCTGTTCCTGTGTGGCCCCCCGCGCGCTGGAGAGCGCTGCACCCCGGGCCCAGCCCCAGCCCGGGTCTGGTTCTGGAGGTGGGTGCGTGGCGTTCTAGGTATGTGGGTGCTTGAGTTGTTTTGTTTCAGGCGTGTGTGGTGATGGAGGTGTGTTTGTGGGTCGTGAGGAGTGTGTTGTATTCGAGGTGTGTATAGTGCTTGGGGTGTGCATGGTGCTCGAGGTATGTGTGTGGGTGGTGCATGGGATGTGTGTGGTGGGCGAGGTGTGTGGTTTAGGTGTGAGTGGGGCTTGAGGTGTGTGGTGTTCAGGGTGTGTATGGTGATTCGGGTGTTCTGTGTGGTACTTGAGGTGCGTGTGTGGAGTTTGAGGTGTATGAGAGATGCTTGAAGTGTGTGTATTGCTGGAGGGGTTGTATGTGTGGTGTTTGAGGTGTGTGGGTGGTGTTCAGGTTGTGTGGTGCTTGAATGGTGTGTGTATGGTATATGAGGTGTGTGGGTGGTGTTCAAGTTGTGTGGTGCTCCAGGTGTTGGGTGCTTGAGGTGTGTGTGTGGAGTTTGAGGTGTGTCTGTGGTCCTTGAATGGTGTGTGTATGGTGTTCCAGGTGTGTGTGTGGCATTCCAGGTGTGTTGTGTGGTCCAGGTGTGTGCGTGGCATTCCAGGTGTGTTGTGTTCCAAGTGGATTTGGTGTTCTAGGTGTGCGGGGTCCAGGTGGGTTTGGGGTCCAGGTGTGTGTGGTGCTAGAGGTAGGAGTACTGTGTGGGGTCCTTTCCTCCTCTGACTGAGGGTTCACCTCTGGAGGATCCTGTCTGGAAGGTGTCCCTCCCTGAATTGCTGAGGACTTCACCTTTTCAGCCTCCTGTTTCACTGTTTCGGAGGTGGCAAGATGGGTGCTTACTCAGTCTCTCTTAACACCTGGAGGTAGTGTAGTCCCTGCCCCTCTAGGGCTGTGTGTGCTGAGGGATGGGTGTCCTATGCAGTGGTCTTCTGAGGTGGCTTTTGGGAAGTGATTGGCTGTGAAGGTGCCAACTTGTATAAGGTGCCCTTTGTGCTGCTGAACTGCTGCTGAGCCATAACCCCAGTACCCACCCCACCCCCCGTGTATTTTAAAACTGACATTTTTTTCCTTCCTCTTCTCCCTCCAACTCGGGAAGGCAAGTTAGCCTTCCCGTCCTAGGCTGAGTTTCCTATTCTTCAGCTCACTGACCACAGAAATGAAGGGATCCAGACTTCAGGCTGGCACAGAGGATCTGAGAGCAAGTCTCCAAGGCCCATGTGAATGACATCCTGAAGGGCACACCTGGAGCTTACTTTTCCCATCCCCTCTTTAATAGCCCACCATTTCCTGGCAGTGAGAGTTACAGCATCTGGGACAGGAGACCCCTCTGTGTTCTTAAAAATAAAAAAAATAAAAATAAAAACAATTTAAAAAAATTGAAACTTTTTTTTATTTGAAAAAAAAAAATAAAACTTTTTCCTTTTCCTCAAAACGGTGTCCAGCATTGTGGACGAGGATTGAGCTTTTGGTGTCAGCCTTGTTATTGGATTAATCCACTAATAGCTGGGACTCAAAGAAGGTGGCATCTGTGGGAGGTGGGACCTGGTTGAAGATCCTTGGGGACATGTTCTTGGGACTGTCCCCCCCAGCCAAGGCAAGAAATTTTGCTTTACCAGGTGCTCTTCCACTATGAGGGTTCTGCCTTTGGCCCAACCATGGACTGAAATTGTGAGCCAAGATAAATCTTTCCTCCTCCAAGTCATTTTGTCAGGTATTTGGGTCAAAGCAATGAAAAGCTGTTTAAAACAGGCAGTGTGGAGGGAAAGTGGAAGGGCAGGAACTCCCAGGGTGTGACGGGGAAAGGGTTGGGCCACAGGCTGCTGCTGTCTCTGGGGACATCTGGCAAGTGATCCCCTTGGTGTCCCAGTGCAGCGTGGTTTCTGGGCCTGTGCAAGAGGTGGAGTGGGCACTGCTGGTGCTTCAGTCTGGATCCAGGACACTGCTCCTCTGTGACCCAGAAATCTTTGAACCTGTAATTGGAGCTCTCTCAGTGAATTGGTGCTGTGAATTTTTTTTTTTTTTAAATCAACCAAAAGCACTTTCTTTTTGTCCAACTGCAAGCTGGGAACTACCCAGGACCTGCCCATCACTCCTGGAAGGGACTGTGTTATGCAAATAGTGGTACTCACCCGTGTGCCCACATGATGGCTGCTTTGCCCAGCCCTGACCTCAAGCCTGCCATTGGGGCGGGTTGGGGAGGCTGTGCTTGCTGTCAGCTCAGTTTGTTCAAAGCCAAGCTCTGCAGGCTGTCCTGTATTTTGGAGATGTGAGTTATTTTTCTGCATTGACAAAGCCCCAATTGGAGGCAGCCTGCTGGGGTTTGGGAAGTAGCTCTGGACACCTGGGGCATCGCTAATTTGGGACAAACGCCCACAGTTAGGAGAGAGGCATTGCAGTGAGTAGCAGGTCTCTTCTTTCTGCGCCTTGGACGAGGGGGATGAGAGGCCTCTGCATGGGAGGGTGGGGTGGAGGAGCTGCACAAGTGGGAACAGTTGTGCCAGCTGACTCTTCCACTTCTCCCACGCCCATGGGCCTGCTCCCTGATGTTACTGACAGGACCTGGGTGTGCTGTGCAGGGTGGCAAGAATCTAGAGCCAGGGTGGTTCTCCAAGGAGGGAGCATTCTGGCCCAGCACTGAGGCCTGATGGAGACTGTGCTGGTGACAGTGGTGGTGGGTGGAAAGGTGGGGACATGGCCTGGAACCTGTGAAACCAACTGTTGAGTTTTGAGAAGCAGGGGCTAGGTTTTGTTATAATCCCAATGAAAGAGAAAAGCCCTGAGAGACCCCCTTCAAAGATTCACTCAAGAACAAGAATCAGATTAGGTACAGAAATAACCTCTGGTTGCCCATGACTGGACCTGTAGCTGACAGCCAGCTAGGCAGTGATTAGTTCCCAAGAACAAGTCTTACCAACATTATAAATTCATAAAATTACAGAAAATTTTGTTAGCATTTTATTAAGAATGCTTGTTCTGCCCAAACCAGGTTATTTTCCAGTGCTTTGAAGGAACTAGACAGAGCTCATGAGGAGGACCTCTCCAGCAGATCCAGGCCCCAAAGTGGATATAGATAGGGACACTAGAGCTGGCACTTACTGCCACCAGGAACCTGCAGTGCAGAACCCAGAGCAGGTCTGGCTGGGATGGGCTGAGAAGCAGCTGCCGTCCTGTGCAGGGTGCCAGAAGCATGGAACCCTGCCCAGGTCCAAGGGCCTGAGGAATTCAGGCACTGTGATGTGAACCCTGAACTGGTCACCTTCCAGTCCTCCAAGACAGGGCAGGGGCTATTTAAAGTAAGTCTGGGAAGAGAAGACTTGGACACAGAAGCAGTTGTATCATTTTGCAACTCTTGTTCAGATTATCCAGTCCTGGGGACCAGGCCAGCCTGAGGCAATGAACACAGGTTTTGGATTGGAACCACAGGTGGAATGCCTGGAAGGGGATTGTTTATATTCTGGTAATTAAAACTAGAGTTCACCAAGGATGTGGGAATGAAGGTGAAATATTAGACACTCCTGGGTTTAATGGAGGAAAAAGGCACCCAAAGGTTAAAGGAGGCAGGTATTCTCTGTGCTTTGCCTGCCCAGCTGTTCCTTAACTGTCCCAACCTCCCCAAGGTATTAATGGGGTGAACTGTGGAAGGAGACACCCTTGAGAAGCTCTGGGGAGGCCAGCTAGTGTAGGGCAGAGATAGAGGTGCTGCCTCCAAGAAGCAGGATAAAGAGACTGTGTTGGGACGGGGTTGCTGTGATGGGCAAGCGGAGTGTTGTGGCATCAGAAACCTCTTCACTGGCCCTTTGTCTAGGACAAAAGCAGAAGGCAGCATAGGGTGGGGTGGTGGAAGTAGGGTGCAAAACCTTGGATCTCAGGAATGTGTCCTGACTTGGTCACAATGCAGGGGACTGGAGTTCCTTTTGCAATTCCTGGATATGAGTCATTCCTGGACCAGAAGCCCTCTGTCTAGGGACAGACCTGGCGGAAACACCCAAGGCCATTTGGTCTTCCCTCAGCCTTGCCTGAGGGAGGAGCAGCCTTGGCCAGGATGGCTAGGGGAGGGGATGCTTCAAGCAAAGGGGCTGCTGGCCAGAGGGGTTTTGGAGGACAGGTGAGAGGCAGATTTTGATTTGACAATGAACACAGTGGGTATGGGAATCTATCCTGCGTTAATTTCCTGGTTGTCTCATATATTGTTTGATTGATTGTTTTGAGCAGTTGGCCAGAGTTTGTGCATAATAAAATTTTTAAAATGCATATGTAGCTCAGTAGTAGAGCACTTGCCTAGCATACTCAAACACCTGGGTTCCATCCCCTGCATAAATAGATGAATAAATAAAGCAGAGTGTCCTGTTCATTTATGAATCTGTTTATTATCTGTTTGACCAAAAATGATTAAACATTTTTTTAATTTGTAGATGGGCACAATACTTTATTTTATTATTTTTGTGGTGCTGAGGATCAAACCCAGTGCCTCACGCATGTGAGACAAGCGCTCTATCACTGAGCCACAATCCCAGCCCGAAAATTATTAAACATTATGCATATTGACTTCTGTGGCTGACTAAGAAAAGAAGATTTTCAATAATGTAAAATTGCAAAACATCTGGAAATGCTGATTTGAAATATAATAAACATTCCTTTATACGCATAGTTGAACTTCAAAGAAAACAAGGGATATATCCCTGGAGACACAAAATAAAGAGGAAGTTGAAACCAATAGGGTAAATGAGTATGAAATCTTGAACATTCTTAATACCTGGAACTTAAAGAAAGAAAGAGACATGGATTTGGGCACATGCAATATAATAAGTTGGAAATAAAAATCTTATATAAAATCAGGACTTTTGAAGTCCAGAAAGACTACAGAAAAAAAAATATCTGCTTTCCATGAAGGAGAAATCCATGATGTTTGTAATGACCTCATCACCAAAAGTAAATCAAATCTTCTCTGAGAATGTATAGCTATAAACTTCCTTCAAATGGGTGTAGAATTTAAATATAAACTCCCTAGGTGGTTTGGAATTGAGCTGAGTTGGCTGTAGATCCAGAGCACAGGGGCACTTGGCCAGAGCAAAAATACCAGTCATCTCTAAAGGTGTGCACCCTCATTTTGACTCCTGCAAGTTCCCACAGATGAAGATTAGCCAGATATGAGATCACAATCTAAAATCACAAAACATGTAAGTATGCTTAAACTGCTAATTAGATAAAGGGTGTAAGGGTGTAATTAGAAAACATGAGAAGGGAAAGAGAAACTATCCGAAAGGATAAGAAAAAAACAAATCCAAGAGACTTGAAAATGAACAAAACACAGCTCCAGAAATGAAAAAATCAATCAGTTTGGGAGGCTGTCGCATTCTGACTGCCGTGGCTGACTAGGAAGAGATTTCAATAATGTAATCTAAAATGCCTCTATTGCAAAACAGCTGGAAATGCTGATTAAAAACATAATAAACATTTTCCTTCATGTGATTGGAAGAGGTTCTGTCTGTCACTTTTGTAGTGGCCTGGACGCTGCCCCGATCCTCAAAGTAGCAGAATGTGACTTCATGCGTAGGCATGCCTTCCTGTAGCCCATGGACCGAGCTATGCTCACCTGTTCCTTTGTGATATTATCCCTTTACCCTATTTGAGATAGAATGTTCCATGGAAATGCCCTCTGTGTGTCTGTCCCCTTCTCTTACTCTGCCTTTGAGTGTGGCCTTCCTAGATGTCAGTCAACTGCTGAGAGCAGACTTCATGAAGCTGGACTCAGCCCCTTGAAACCTGACCCCTGGCCTCATTTGAATGACTTCTCAGTAAAAGGGGCCAGCACACCCTCCTGCTTGCCTGTGCTTTCTGTGGACCCCTAAGGTCAGAGGCGCCATCACAGGACCCCAGGGAAAAAGGTGTCTCCGTCTCTGGTGTGGTTATTTCGTGCAGCCCAGTTCCCCTGGAGTGACCGAGTGTTTTTGTCGCTGGGAATTCGACAATCAATAATTAAAATTTCTTTTTTTTTTCTTCCTGGAAAATAGTTTTTATTTTTATCTATTTATTTTTGTAGTACTGGGGATTGAACCCAGGAGTACTCTACCTTTGAGCTATAGCCCAGCTCTTTTCATTTTTTATTTTGAAACAGGATCTCGCTAAGTTGCCCAGAATAGCCTTGAATTTAGGATCCTCCTGCCTCAGCCTTCTGAATCCCTAGGATTACAGGTGTGCAACACCATGCCAGCCTTCTTTTAAAAGGCGGAATATCATTCTATTGTGTATATATGCCACACTTTATTTATTTATTCATATGTTGATGGACTGCTGATTCCATTTTTTTGGCTATTGTGAACAATAAATAAGTAAAATGTCAATGGGCAGGTTCAACAGCAGATCAGTCACAGCTAAG